CAGTCCTATCTCCACCTGCCGCCTGGGGTTCCTCCCAGTAAATCTCAACAATATCTTCCCAGCTGAAAGGGTCTGGAACTGGATCTGTCACTCTGCTGTCCTGCGGAGCCTTCCCAATGGAGTGGAAGAGATCTTGGTAGTCCTGCTCCAGTTCCCACTCCAGGGTTGCTAGGTGAGCCAGGTCTTGCTCTACTTCATGGGGGTCATCCCAGTCATGCCTAGCCTCCCTCTCATAGAAAATGTCCTGAAGTCTGTTCTGCGCAGGGCTCCCGAAGTCAGGTTCTGCAAAGGACTCCCATAACAAGCCAGGACCATCAAACTGTCTGTCTTGTCATGCTCGGCTGTCCAGGGTATATACTGTTCCATATACCACCAGAGCGCCTGGTAGGCATTCTCCAGCCATAGCTCCTGCCATACCCGGTGCTCTAGTTCCTTCACCCATTCCTCCAGGGGCTGCTCTCCCAGGAAGGGCATCCGCAGGGCCACTTGCTTCTGCAACCGCTGCTCTTCACTGGGGAGACTCTCACCCCGCTGGTATTGTACATTATCTTGGTACCAGATGCCTTTCCTTAATGCATCCCGGCCATCCAGGTCCTCCTCCTCGTATAACACTGCTGGTTCCATTCTGTTGCTTTTAGGGTCGCTGTACTGGGACATGAGTTGCCCCCACTTGTAAATCCAAAGAAATGGTGTCTCCTGTCCTTCTGGCTGTAGGAACGATCCTGCTGCTTGCCACCAATTGTAACGGCACCCCGGGCATAAAAGGGGTTAACAGCCGTTTACAAGATCTTCCCTTCCAGGGATACATGCACAGCTACTGGAGAACACCAATCCGCCGAACAGGAAACCATATGAATGCTGTAAACAGCCGAAAAGGAAAAACCATACGAATAGGTTTACACTCCTAGCAGTCGAACTGGAACAGCATACAATAAACGAGACAAAGAACAAGACAAAGCTCCGTGTTGAGAGTCTAGCAGTGAACAGATAGAGCTGTGGGTTTATTGTTCTTATGTACACATTCTTACACATTAGTATCACTGTAACGGACCGTTTTGCCCAAAAGGGGAAAAAAACGTTTAGGCGATCGGCCCCCTTTCCAGAGATCCAGGCACAGCTACTGCCGAACACCAAAACTCACGAACTGGATACAAAATAGCACTCCAACTCCCGAACTGGAACCTCCCAAATAGCTGCTAGCATACGAACAGGAAAAGCAGACGAACAGCTTACACTCCTGGCAATCAGTCTCTAACAGCATACAGTGAATCCCCCCAAGAACGAGACAAGGCTCCGTGTTGAGGGTCAAGCAGTGGTCTGAGGTGCTGGCACACCCAGCCTGGTTTTTATTACAGTCTTGCAAATACAGGACCGCCCACAGGGAGGTATAAAACAACCAATCACATCACAGTTACATCCCACATATTCCCTCCCCTTATCCTGAGAGGAAACTCAATTATACATACAGTTAAAACATACTTTCTACCCAACTCTCATAACTCTAAAACCATACATCACATTCACATAAAATTACACATTCACAATCAATCCATTCAGGAGAACAACATATTAAAAAATGGCCTGAATCAGACCAGGGGTTCAAAAGTTAGTAAAACGTCCTTTGTGACTAAATGAAGCATGGCTTTCTGGCCCAAACCAGTTTCAGAGTCTTCTATCCTGGAGATAAATAATTCAATTATCTCCCAGGATAGACACAAGACTCCATTAAGCACATGGTTGCAAAAAGACACAAAACACTTTAAAATACATAAAGTCACATTTATACATAAAACACAGACATTTCACATATCCCCAGATAGCTCAGGTCTGAGAGCACATTATTAAGTGAATGGCGCTCAGACCACACGAATACAGTTTAATCGCCATGGAGCCAAAGTCTTTACAGTCAGTTTCATACAAATGGTCTCCATGGGATTCCTATCTGGGGTATAACACATTCAAACAAATCTACCGAACCCCAGGCAGAAAAGCACGAATTAAACTTTTCTGCAGGTAAAAAAAGATGTCTTTTAACAGGGGGCCATAGTCCAAAGGCAGCAGGCGAGTAACCAGGCTTCTCCAATGCAATATGGCGAGATTGGTCTTGTCACATCTCTCCCCTTTTCCAAACAGACTAACAGGGTATCTGACCTCCTGCCGGTCAGTGCCCTTGTTAGTCCAGCAGCCCACCCACAAAACATAATCAACAGCACAGCCCACCCAAAATAAATGGTTACTACACCTGGGTAAAGGAGAAGCTTGTCCATGTCCAGGTGCCTCACCACGGCTGTGCTGGGTACGGGTATGCTGACTTGGTGGGTTGCTGAGTGGGCAGAGACCAGCGGTACTCTGCCCTGGTGCCAGCGCTACTGGAGGGGTAGCCTGGTTGAAGCCTGGTTGTTGGAGGGGGAGACCGACTGTCTCCCCTTTAGACACACAGCTCTGCTGCTGGAGACCGACTGTCTCCCCTTTAGATACACCGCTCTGCTGCTGGAGACCGACTGTCTCCCCTTTTGTTGCACAGCTCTGCTGCCGGAGGGGGGGACCGACTGTCTCCCCTTTGGATACTCTAAGATGTTGCTGGGGAGAGGGGGTAACAGGCTCCTCTCCCAATAGAACACTCTGCCGCTGGGGAAAGGAGACTGAGCTCTCTATTCCCTGCCCATTAATGATCCGCTGCTGGGGAGAGGTGGTAGCAAGCTCCTCTCCCATACATACTTTCATCCTCTGTGGAGGGAGACCGACTGTCTCCGCTCCCAATACAGTGTCCTGCTGCTGGGGAGAGGAGACTGGGCTCTCTATTCCCGGTAGGACACTCTGCCGCTGGGGAATGGAGACTGGGCTCCCAATTCCCTGCTGTATCTCCCGCTGGGGAATGGAGACTGGGCTCCCAATTCCCCAAAAATCATGCTGCTGCTGGGGGGCAGGAACAACTACCTCTGCCCCCTGTAGGACGCTGCTCTCCTCTCCCTGCACTTTACACTGCCTTCCCGGCATATCACTCTGCTGCTGGGGGGCAGGAACAACTACCTCTGCCCCCTGTAACTCAGCCTGCCGCTGGGGAGGGAGGACGCTGCTCTCCTCTCCCTGCACTTCACACTGCCTTCCTGGCATATCACTCTGCTGCTGGGGGCAGGAACAACTACCTCTGCCCCCTGTAACTCAGCCTGCCGCTGGGGAATGAAGCTTGGGCTCCCAATTCCCTGCAATATCTCCCGCTGGGGAATGGAGCTCGGGCTCCCAATTCCCTGCAATACCGGTGGAGAGACCTCGGTCCCCTCTCCACCTGCCGCCTGGGGTTCCTCCCAGTAAATTTCAACAATATCTTCCCAGCTGAATGGGTCTGAGACTGGATCTGTCACTCTGCTGTCCTGCGGAGCCTTCCCAATGGAGTGGAAGAGATCTCGATAGTCCTGCTCCAGTTCCCACTCCAGGGTTGCTAGGTGAGCCAGGTCTTGCTCTACCTCATGGGGGTCATCCCAGTCATGCCTAGCCTCCCTCTCGTAGAAAATTTCCTGAAGTCTGTTCTGCGCAGGGCTCCCGAAGTCAGGCTCTGCAAAGAACTCCCATAACAAGCCAGGACCATCAAACTCCTCTCCCTCTGGCTTGTCATGCTCAGCTGTCCAGGGTATATACTGTGCCATATACCACCAGAGCGCCTGGTAGGCATCCTCCAGCCATAGCTCCTGCCATACCCGATGCTCTAGTTCCTTCACCCATTCCTCCGGGGGCTGCTCTCCCAGGAAGGGCATCCGCAGGGCCACTTGCTTCTGCAACCGCTGCTCTTCACTGGGGAGACTCTCACCCCGCTGGTATTGTACATTATCCAGGGCCTGGTACCAGATGCCTTTCCTTAATGCATCCTGGCCATCCAGGTCCTCCTCCTTGTATAACACTGCTGGTTCCATTCTGTTGCTTTTAGGGTCGCTGTACAGGGACATGCGTTGCCCCCACTTGTAAATCCAAAGAAACGGTGTCTCCTGTAGCTGTCCTTCTGGCTGTAGGAACGATCCCACCGCTGCCACCAATTGTAACGGACCGTTTTGCACAAAAAGGGAAAAAAACGTTTAGGCGATCGGCCCCCTTTCCAGAGATCCAGGCACAGCTACTGCAGAACACCAAAACTCACGAACTGGATACAAAATA